CGTTTAGAGCTGTAAAAGACATGGTGCGACACAGTGGCTCTTCTTGTACATTTTATGGCCCTCTTCGAGTCTTTAAAATCTCTCCGCAGGTAATCATACAGGTGCAGATATATCGGTTCCAGCTCTGCTACTCGACCCTACAGTATGGCCGGGCGATATGGGCAAAATATCATATACCGGTATTTTAGGAGGAATGCGGCGTGGTTTCCGCTACATTCATTCATTCATTCATGAAGGGGCACCACACCAAAGTTTATCCTGCCACAGCTACATTCCAGCTTCTCATTCAAAACTTTCAGTTGTTGTTGTTTTTTAATAGCACCAAATCGCATTAAAAGGTAAGTGAACTATAAGAGCACAAACTTTTCTGTAATCGTAGTGCTTTGTGTTATTTGTTTAACCTGTTCAGGTGACATGCTGACTGACTGACATGTGCGTGATGCGCGAGGGGCCAGCAAACACAACGTAGCTTTCAGTTAGGATGAACACAGTTTCCATAATTATACTTTATAGATTATAGATTTATAGAAATTTATAGAAATTTCATTTGCAACCCTGACCAAACACACCTGTTTGTAATTATCAAGTGCTGCTTTAGGTACTATTAATTGGTTCAGGTTAGTTTGATCAGTTTTGGGACTGAATTCTGCAGGAAGGTAGCTCTCCAGGACCAGGGTTGGTGACCCCTGCACAAGAGTAACACGCGAAAAAAAGGAGAAGCCGAAAAAAAAAAAAACAAAGGAGCAAATGATTGCTTCAGCAACCTAAACTATGAACAAGCTACCACGTTCAACTATTATCATCGCATTTTGGACTATTATGAACTCAGAATGACGGAATTACTTTCTAACAGAGGTTATATGTGCTGGTGAAGAAGTTTTTTGTAATTGGTAACATATCGGAAAGCGAAAGGGGCTGTACGTGTTCATATATGTTGCATTTATATATTTTATAAAATTGCAGACGTTACAGTAGGTTATTTCCATTTATCTGCAGTTATAAATAAATTATGTACACATAAAGGCTAGTAATGAACATTTATGCAAGTATTTATGTTTAAAGCATCCGTTTTGTTAGAAGTGCTTCTTCTGTGATATGTGAATGACCCGTACAGCTTTACTTTTACATTTCCTCAAGCAAAAATGATGTCCACTGAAACTTTCTGTTCATTGGTACTCTTTTGGCAGTGAAAACCCAAGCCTGATAAAAGTGACCCATGCCAACTCATACAATACCACTTTGCAGAGTTCCAGAACACACCCTCAGCTCAAAGGTGTTTAGGGGCAAAAAAAGTTGCATTGGTGAGCTTTTTTTCAACTGCCAAAATTAACTTCAATGTTTGATTTTGTTTAAAGTACACTGGGCCATTATGATAACTGAGATGTGTTTGCATCTACATTTAGCATGACTAGTATAAGGTGACTAGTTTCATTAATGTCTCAGCTTGTTATCTGTTAGAATCATCATTGCTGTAAACAGCTCTTAGGTCACTGAATATCTATTCTATATAGACCACATTGCTAAAGTCACCTTAGTGGGCACTGGATCAAAGCCAATCCCTACAATCCTAAGGAATGCTCCGGATCCAGCCTGCTTTAGAAAGTCTCAGAAATGACAATAAAACATGAATCAAAGCATGCATGTATGCCAAGACAAACCCTATAACATGATGACTAACATATTGCATAATATTTACTTATATGCCATAGTTGTTTTCACATGTGCTTGCCAGCAAAGCATAAGGCAAGTAAGGTGACTATCACTAAAGTGCTAATACCATAATATGCAATATTTTTTTTTAATGTGCATATATCACAGCTGTCTTTTAACAGGGCTCCTGCTTAAATTAAATCACCAGAAGCACAATTCAAAATACGCAAGCTAGTTGCAGTTCTTGCATTTCCAATTGAAAATAGGGTGCAAACAAAAGACACTTTCACAGCAGAGCTTGTACTGGGACTTAAAAATCAGCACACTCATATGAATGGTACAAAAAAGTCAATGTCACAACAACTTCTGCTTTCTAAATAAAATAGCCAATGAGCAATTGGTAAAATCATACTGATGCTGCTATAAGCTCTACAGAGCACAAAAGTCTAGACATGCAAGCACCGTTATGTTTTTTTTCTCTATAGGGAGCTTTACAAATTGTTTAAAACATTTAGAAATGAAATGTAGATTTTTTTACTTGCCTTGTACCTACACTGGTCAGATAATAAAATATTGAGTTGGAATTGAAAAGTACAAAACTTTTTTTTTTTTTTTCAACCAGACATCTCTAATGAATTGTCAAAGTAACATTAAATTATAAAGTGTGGATTCAAAGAAAGACTGAGGGCTTGAGGTGAAATTTAGGACAAGGCCTGAAGTTTCCACTCACTACAAGTACAACACAATTCTGATGTTATATTATGTATAATTTTTATTTTCTTTTTTAAAAAAATAATAAAAGTTAATTAAAAACACTTGTATAAAACATGCATTCAATTATATGCATCTGCAAAGACGTCTACTTCGAGATATCAAAAATGTGTTTCTTTGGTAAACATGATGATTACTGCAAGTTCTTTTTTTTTCTATAATTTCAGAAGTGCACTGACAAATTTATGGAGATAAAATGAAAAGCAATCAAAGAGTGATCTGTTAAATAAAATCTTTTACCTATGATTTAATTATGTACAACCACCAAATGAATGAGACTGAGGTAAAGCTGGTTTAATATTCACACATTCGTTCAGTGATAACTTGCTTCCTATATTATTTACCATGCTACTTCAAATTATTGGTTTGAAATTCCATGCAAACATGACTTCAAAACAATATTAGCAGCACTATTTTAATGGACTGTGAACTGTTGTATCCTACTTCGATAGCGAGTGCCTGCTAATATGATGTCAATAGGCTATATATTGCAAAGAATACTTTTCTGAAATTATATAATAAAGGAGAGAGTTAGAATGTGCGAATATAAATCCAACATTACCCCAATATGAATGAGAGACCTACTGATTGACATCGCCATTAATGACAATAATAAAAATAACAGTAATAGTAATAATAATAATAATAATAATTAGGGCTGGGTGATTAATCGAAAAGCAATCAAAATCAACATTCAGAACCAATAATCGATCAAATTTTTCCAGGTATATTTTTTTCCAATTACTTTCTCTAACATGTGAAGTCACATGAAACCGCTCTGTTTGTTCTTTTTGTGTTACTTTGCACTACATTTACAATTGACGAAGCTTTTGTAAATGCCTTGAGCAGAGAAAGCAGAGATGCCTTGAGACGGCATACTTTACATTAGATCAAAATTATTATTTAAATGAAAACTTTTGTTAGGCGCTATTTCTGTGTGGAGTTTGCATGTTCTCCACGTCTTTGCGTTGGTTTTCCCCTGTGTGCTCCGCCCCCCCCCCAAGTCCAAAGACATGCGATATAGATGAATTGGGCAAGCTAAAATTGTCCATAGTGTATGACTGTGAAAGAGTGTGTATGGGTGCTTCCCAGTGATGGGTTGCAATTGGAAGGGCACCCGCTGCGTAAAACACATGCTGGATAAGTTGGCGTTTCATTCCGCAGTGGCAACCCCAGATTAATAAAGGGACTTAGCCGAAAAGAAAATAAATGAATGAATGAAAACATTTGTTTACAGTGGATGCAAGAAATCCGCCATTTAAAATATTATTTACAGGATATACAAGTTATTTTATTTAGAAGTAATACTGCTTATTTTCAACGTTTAATATAAAGAACATTGACAACAATTGATTTTGTTTCCAAAAGTGCTAGTTATTAATTTTCACGTCGAGATTTTTTAGGCTAAATTGCCCAGCCCTAATAATAATAATAATAATAATAATAATAATAATAATAATAATAATATCACAACACATAATAAAACAACACATACAAATTCGCTTGTCATTTGCTTGTCTAATAATTTCTTGAAGGAATCTTGAGTTAACTAAATAACCTAAGATTCTAGCAATGGTCAATTCATCAGAGAAGTGTGTTATTACTGGTTGCTGGTTTTTGTTTTATGTTTCCTACACTTTAAGCCAAGTAAAACTAAGCTAACCAGGCCATCATTATGATGTGGGCAGTGGTTGTGTGGGCATATGCATCATGATTCTTCAGGCCTGCACATCTTAATTTAGCCATACAGTAGACCATAATCTGGGAACTGTGAAACAATTCGAAAAAGAAAAAGAGAAACGAAACACCCAATATAAAATAAACATGCCGCAAGTCATCTTTTTCTCATTTGCAAAAATACGTCATGCTATCAGAACAAATACTCATAGTAAAGATAAGTCAAACCAGACCCTAATAATTCAAACAAGTCCAAAAATGGTCTGAACATCCAAGACATAAAACACAGGTTTATTTTTAGCCTTTTTTTCCTGCTCGCTCCTAAACTCTCGGAAAAAAGCCGACATGAATAAATCCACACACAGGCCAATAGTCATGAAATGTTTACAATAGGCCAAACACGTGGAGGTGAAGAAGAGGGTCACATGACAAAGGTGATAAGCCTCATAAGAAACATACAGAACTGCTGATTTGACTTGAGAAAGCTTATACTGCCTTTTAAAACAGCTGACTTGAGTGCTGCAAAGATCCTTAATGCAACCTGATCAAAATGCAAACTTGAAACACCTGACGATTTGCACATAATTAGTGTGAATCATAACACACACAAAAAAACGGGTGAGGTCAGCAAGTGTTATGCCACGCAAGCTCATTTTATATACACCAAATGAACGGTGTGCTTTTTTAACCTAGCAGTTTTTTAACCTCTCGAGTAGTGGAAACAGTAATGACATGGTGATGACCTTGACCAAACACACAAAAACTGCCTGATTGGAGTTGTTGATATTAAATTACACTTGTATAACATGAATAAAACATTGACTAAATGGAAAATTGTCTCTTCATTTGATACACAATTCTTTATGGGTTTTAAAGCAGAGCCAAAATGACAGGACACTTACGTTTGGTGGCATTGATGAGATTCTTTCCATCTTTGTACAACTCTTTGATGAATCTGCCTGTTTTTTCCAGCTCTGCTTCATGAGCTTTGATTTTGTCCCTGAAAGCAGGACTGTCCAGGTAACATTCACTGAACTCCAACGGGTGTAAACCCATTTTTACTGGACTCAGCTAGTTTAAAGACTAGCTAGCGTTTAAATCCCGTTACAAAGCGACCAGCGAATGAATAAATACAAAAAATGGTCAAATCAAGAAGCTGAATAAAAAGGCTGTTGTTAAAAAGTCGTTTCTAACGCGTGCTCGTGTATTTTAGGAAGACTAAACGCGTCGGGACTCCTCTTGGGAATGGAACTCTTTCCAAAGGCGCACGAGTAAACTTAGTCCTGGCTGGATTAAGTAAATCCCGGGTTTAAACTCGTGTATGATAAGATAAAACAGCTCTGGGCTACACCGATATCGCTTGAAATAGAGGTAATAATATCCAGTGTGGTTTTTGGTCCGCGAATGACAGTCGAGCGCGAGTCTCCTCCCGCGTGCAGGACTCCGGGGCTTTTTCTGCCATCACGTCATCACGCTTGGCTCTCTGGAAAATCGGGATTTTTTTGAGGGGGAACAACGGAGTGTGGGCAGTGATGCTATGGGAATTTACACATATAGCTTATGTAGTCATGTAAATCACTCAGGATAATTCTATTTTTGTTTTCTACGTAAATATTTTAATAAGACAAGACGAGTGGCTTTATCGGAGTCAGTAGAGTGTGAAAATGATATGTGGAACTCTAAAATAGCGGATGTTGTTTCCGTCGGCGTGTTTAAACGGAACGGACCTGCAGTGCAGTGCAGAAGCAGAGCTTTAGGAGAAAAGCTGTTTTATTATTATATATATAGAGATATTTGAAATATGTTTAAAGCGCAGTTTAGAGTGTAAATCCAGCGACAGGTTGGAGTCGCTTGAATTCTGAAAACTAGCAAGCGGAAACAGGTAAAATAAGCTGTAAATCAACGTTATCTCCTTAATAAAAATAGAAAATATTGAAAGAGTGATAGTGGATGAAATATAAAATTATGCATGTTAAATGGAAAATGCAACAATTCTGGTTTCGTATTTCTACAATATTTGATGTAGTGGTTTTATTCTGCTGCATGGAAACGTTTTTTTTTTCATATAAACTATTAATGAAAGGCAATTCTTAATTAAAAACGAGTCATTTTCAGATCGTTGTTTGGTCACATATAAGTTACTTTACAGAACTACTTACTCCAGTATACCTAAACTGACACAAATGGAACAAACACAAATGGAAAAACTAAAAAGAAAGTTCATAAACAATAAATAAGCAGTGATGAACTTTGTTTATTTATTTATTGAACTTTTTTTCAGAAATCAATTCTTAAGATATTTTTGACTAGGTAGATGTATATTGATTTAAGAATGTTTGGGAAGTTATAATAGACATGGCAAAAATACTTTTGATATTTTAAATTATTTGACTATTTACTTATTAATTGAAGTTTATTTTTCATTATTTATTTATTTATCATTATTGTTATTATTAATATTTGCAATGCATTTTTTTTCAATTAACCAGTTGTTTGTGATCTTGATTTTGTCCTTCACAGAAGAGATGCCTAATGCCACTACAAGACCAAAGAGAACGAGGCGTCATAGACGAGCTCAGAGGGAAGATGCTGCAAGAAATGAGCTGGTGTCAAGATCCTTGGAAAGTGCTCAGCAGTGTCTGTTCAGTGAGGACTATGGCACTGCTTTTGTTCACTATCTGTTAGTTCTCAACCTCGCTCCAGCTCTGAAAGACTTTGCTAATGTAACTTTTTTTTTCTTCCATCCCTCCTTAATTATTTAATCACTGTTTAATTTCTGATCAGTCTGTGGAGTACAGAAATGTGGAGTTTAGTGATTTATTTTTGATATAGATTCAAACGTTTTTTAAAGTTTTTTTAACGCTTTTTTTTTTTTTTGTATTTACAGGAGTCATTTAGATTTACCTTGTTTAAATGGGCAGAAGAGCTGGACTCTCTTGGACGTATCCAGGACCTCTTTGATTGCTATGAACAAGCTATGGAATTGTTTCCTGTAGATGAGATTATAGTGAACAGCATGGGAGAGCACCTCTTCAGGTTTTGTTTATTTTTATTCATTTATTTATTGCCTGGTCTTGCTCTTGTTGTTTAGTGGTTTTAAGATAACAAATATATATGTATACATTATAAAAAATATATTATTTATTTATTTATTTTTTTACAAATTGTACTTACATATCTATAATTAGTGTATAAAGTATACACTTTGGTTCAAAGATTTATGGTTAATATTACATTTTGTTTCTTACAGGAGTGTATTTATTTGATCACAAATACAGACATATTAAATAATATTTTGCTATTTTAAATAGCTGTTTTCTATTAAAATACGTTTAAATAATAAAAATCTATATTTTAAATATAATATAAATGTAATAATATTATAATAATATTATTAAATAATATTCATGTGAATTCAAAGCTACATTTTTAGTTTTCAGTAGTCATCACTCATTACAGTATTCAGTATCATCTCTCTTCAGAAATCCTTGCACATATACAGTCAAAGCAAAAAATATTAGCCCTCGTATTGGTAATGACATTTCACACTATTTCCTTTTATATATCTATTTTATTTTTGGGGAAAGCCTTATTTCTTTTCGCTTTTCAGCTCAAATACAAAAAAAAATCTATTTTTAATCATTATATATAAATTAATTATACATATATATATATATATATATATATATATATATATATATATATATATATATATATATATATATATATATATATATATATAATTGAACACAGAACAAACCATTATTGAGCAATAACTCATCTTATTAACCTAACTTGCCAAGTTAGCTAAAGTAACCCAGCTAAGCCATTAAAGTGCAGAGAAATCTAAATACTAGTCTCTTGATCACTAGTGAAATATTATAATATTTACTGTCATTATGGCCAAAGACAACAAATAAGTTATTAGAAATTGGGGGAAAACTAAATAAAAAAAAATACCTATTTTTTATTTATTTAATTTATTTTATTTTATTAGCTGACTCCAGACTTCGAAGTTTGACTTTGGTTTCTGTTTATTTCAGAATGGGATTTCGGGATGAGGCTGCTGGCCATTTTTACAAAGCCCTTAAACTGCGGCCAGACTTTCCAGAGGCGAAAGAGAACTTTTACCGCGTTGCCAACTGGTTGGTGGAGCGCTGGCACTTCTTAATGCTCAACGACCATGGACGAAACCACAAGTACCAGTTAGCTATAAAGAAGGCTGTTGAGGGTGGTTGCAGCTCAGTTCTGGACATTGGAACAGGCACTGGCATCCTCGGGTGAGATTTTTCAGAAACGTATTACATAACATTGTTATTTAACAAACATCTGCTTCAAATGATGTATGGCGGTGAGTGTGGTTTTAACAGTGTTTGCTTGACATGTTGTTGGCAGGATGTGTGCAAAAATGGCTGGCGCTGCTGAGGTCTATGCCTGTGAGCTGTCAAAGACAATGTATGAGCTGGCATGTGAGGTGCTCTCAGCCAATGGGATGGCGGATTGCATCAAAATCCTTCACCGGAAATCTCTGGACATGGAAATTCCAAAAGACATCCCAAACAGGTGAATAAAAGTCTTGTTGAAAATGTTTGCTTTTAGTGCATTTTGTTTTGTGATGAATAAATGTGAAAATGTATCTGCCATGTAATAGACAGTGAAGCTGAATGGCAGTAAACATACATACTAATAGCAGTACTACTAATTATACTGTTAAATGTTAAACAATTAATTATGCAGATCTAATTTTGTTAAACACTTCTAGGTTTCTGTTTGTTCAGACAGCTCTTTTATATTTTTATACGTTGTACTTTTTTCTACAACCACTTACTCTATTTCGAAGGTCTTTAAATAGTTTATATTTGCCTTTAAGGTGGCATGGTGGCTTAGTGGTTAGCACTGCCGCCTCACAGCAAGAAGGTCACTGGTTCGACAGTTTTCTGTGTGGGCTTTTCATGATCTCCCCATGTTCGTGTGGGTTTCCCCCACAGTCCAAAGACGTGTTCTATAGGTGAATTGATTAAGCTAAATTGTCCATAGTGTATGTGTGTGAATGAGTGTGTATAGGTGTTTCTAAGTACTGGGTTGCAGCTGGAAGGGCATCCGCTGCATAAAACATATGCTGGATAAGTTGACGGTTCATTCCACTGTGGCAACCCCAGATAAAATAAAGGGACTAGGGGGAAAAGAAAATGAATAAATAAATAAACTGTGTTGCTAAGGATTTTCAGTCCGGTTTAGGTCAGGACTTTGGGCTGCCATTTCATTATTTCGGTGTTTTTAAACTGAAAGAAAATGAATGAATGATATTTGCTTTTAGTTTCTCTTGCATAACTTCTATTTCTCCAAATTTAGATTGTTGTTGTTGTTATTGTTGTTTTATTATTATTATTAATATTATTATTATTTTGTTATTGTTGTTATTATTTTTAAGGTCACAAACTCTGTATGTGACAGATACATTTTGAATTAAAATGAAAAAAAAAAATAATAATAGCTTGACTAAAAATAAATATTTAATGTTAATTTACTCATCCTAAGTACTTCCTTAGACAGCTTTTTTTAGTAGAACATTAAAGCAGGTTTTTAGCTAGGTTCTTGGTAATCCATAAAAGGCACATTAAATAAATGTATGCCTGTGGCACTTGATGATAAATTAAGCTTATATGAAGCGAAATGAACAGCCATGGCTGTGGATTAAAAGCATTAGTGTCAATATCATTTGTTCCCAGAATGATTGTTTATTTTCACAAGACCTCAATGTATAGTCAGGAGCCACACATATTAATTTTGTTTAGCCTAAACATGATTTTTGTTCTTCTTTTAATCAGTTGAATGTATATTTTATGAATAAAAGAATTTAACAATGAGGTTCATGTTAACTTCATCAAAATCACTGAGCCTAGACATTTGAATGATGGTACTGTATATAAGTAAATTATAAATTAAATTTGTTTATCACATTTAATACATACATTTGAAGTCAGATTTATTAGCCCTCCTGTTTAATTTCAATTCTTTTATATTTTCCCCAATTTCTGTTTAATGGAGAAAGTTTTTTAACACATTTCTAAACATAAGTTTTAATAACCAATTTCTAATGACTGATTTATTTTATCTTTGCCATGATGACAGTAAATAATATATTGCTAGATACTTTTTAAGTTTATTCAGCTTAAATTGACATTTAAAGGCTTAACTAGGTTAATTAGGGTAATTAGGCAAGTCATTTTATAACAGTAAAGCACATTTTAAAGCATAATAGTTTTAATTTGGATTATGTTACGTCATGTATGACTGTGCATAATATTTTATTAGCTTTTTGTTCCATCTTAAATGACAATTTACAGGATTAACTAGGTTAATTACGTTTACTGGGCTAGTTAAGTTAATTAGGTAATTCACTGGATAAGTGGTTTGATTTGTAGCCAATTGAAAAAAAAAAATCTTAAAAGGGCTAATAACATTGACTAAGCTTAAAGAAATAAGACTTTCTCCCAGAAGAAATAATATACAGTTGACATCAGAATTATTGTTATTAATATAATTTTTTTTATTTATTTTTTTTATATATTTCCCAAATAATTGTTTAAAAGAGCAAGGAAATAATTTTCCTTCTGGAGAAAGTCAGTTTGTAATTTTTTAAAAACATTTTAAGGTCAAAATTATTATCCCCTTTAAGCTATTCTTTTCCCGACAGTCTACAAAACAAACCATCATTATACAATAACTTGCCTAATTACCCTAACCTGCCTAGCTAACCTAATTAACCTAGTTAAACCTTTAAATGTTACTTTAAGCTGTATAGAAGTGTCTTGAAATATATCTAGTAAAATATTATGTAATGTCATCATGACAAAGATAAAATAAACCAGTTATTAGAAATTAGTTATTAAACATATGTTTAGAAATGTGTTGAAAAAAAATCTTCTCTCTGTTAAACAGAAATTGGGGGTGAAAAATAAACAGGGGGGCTAATAATTGTGACTTCAACTGTACATACTGTGCAAAATGTCCTTGTTCTGTTAAAAAGCATTTGGGCCATATTTGAAAAAGAGAAGGGCCAATAATTTTATCATTAATCATTTAAACAATTTTTTTTGGTAGCTAAGGAGAAGTGATATGATATACATATACATAATACAAATTAACCTGTATTAAATGTCTCTCTCTTCAGAGTGTCGCTGGTTGTTACAGAGACTGTAGATGCAGGGTTGTTTGGTGAAGGCATCATTGAGACGTTGATTCATGCATGGAAGCACCTGCTCCTACCTGCTCCTGTAAGTCACTTTCTCATCGATTTCAGCATGTTTCTGTGCTTTAACTATTCTGATCAGTAAACCTACCGGGGTCATGTGATGCCGCAAACTAAACTCTCATTATAGAATAATCCTTTTATACAAATGACTTTATCCTGTCTGATCCCAAGTTGATCCGACCATGGTCAGAGATTTTTGTCTCTGAAAATGTTACGTCTTGCGGCTATGTTAACAGCTACCTTAGCAAAAGTTTACATACTCGAATCCTTTATTCAAAATCATTCGTTTTGATACAGTTTAACTTGTTTTTTGTTTTAGTGTTAAGAGATTTCTGAATCCTCGTGTTATTTTACTGTTGAGACAATAGGGACACCTAGCGGCTACCTGATATAAATACATTTGTTTTATTTTTGAAATGGTGTATGTTTTATAATCAAGGTTCATTTATTCATTCAGCTTTTTCACTTTGTCATCATATAAGTATAATTTTTGTCAAAATATAATGCTGTTTTTAAATTGTCACTGTTTAAAAATAATTGTATTAGGTATATTAAGTTATACCAGCAAGTTGTCTGCTGCATTATCCAAAGAGTTTTGTGAGCACTGAAGAGGTCTTTAATTTTAAATATGCAAACATTATTATTATTATTATTATTATTATTGCTGTTACTATTATGATAATATATATATATATATATATATATATTATAATTTTATATATATAATTTTATTTTTATTTTTATTATTACTATTATTATAATATTATTATAATATTAATATTTCTTTACTGTTACTATTATTATTGTATTATAATGTATTTTTTAATATTATTATTATTATTAATATTATTATTATTATTATTACCATCAACAGAGATGGTAATTAATTAACATGAGTTAATTAACTGTAGGTTGATTTTGTTATATTTCAAAGACAAATTTCACATTTGGTGTGCTGAACAAATTTAATCTGCAAAGGCGATACCCTATACATAAAAAGTTAAACTGGCTGCTTTAGTGTTTCAAATTTTATAAATACATAATTACAAGACTTGCGAAAAGAAATAACACATTGTGTGAAATATACACCATTATTCAGTTTAACATAAATTTATTAAAGTGAAAGATTTTCTCTTAATTGTACTGATGAAAATGGGGGATGCACTGTGATGCACACAATAGAATTGTTCCATAGGTCATTTGATAAGTCATTTTCCATATGTTAATATGATTGAAATACAGTGGAATTATTTCTCAAGCGTTTTTTAACTGATTAAGGAAATTTCCACAGTATTTTCTGTAATATTTTTTGTCTTCGGGTAACAGGCCTATTTGTTTTATTTCAGCTGGAATAAAAGCAGTTTTAAATTTATTTTACAACTATTTTAAGGTCAGTATTAGTAGCCCCTTAAGAAATATTTTTTGGCTGTCTACAGAACAAACCACAGTTATATGTTATGATAACTGTTATAATGACTTTGCTAAATTACCCTAACCTGCCTAATTTACCCAGTTAAGCCTTTAAATTGCACTTTAAGCTGAATGCTAGTATCTTGAAAAATATCTAGTAAAATATTATGCACTATCATGGCAAAGACAAAACAAGTCTGTTATTAGAAATTAGTTATTAAAATGATTGTGTTTAGAAATGTGTAAAAAAAAACTTCTTACCGTTAAGCAGAAATTGGGAAAATTTTAAATTAATAAAAATTTTATAATTCTGACTTCAACTTTATATCGCTTATACTGTAAGTATGTTTTTTTTTATTTTTTTTTTAAGTATTACTATATTTAACACTTTTTAAAAAGTGTGTTCTGCAAATCATGGTGAAGTTTTTCCTCCCTCAGAAAATACTGTACTCAAAATTTGAAGTTGATCAACAGTACTAATACTAAATAATAATTTAGGATAAATAATAAACTGATATATTATTTTATATAACACTGATATTGTGTGTTCAAAACTGTTAATATTGTTCAATGCACATTTTAGTTTTACGACAACTGATAATGAAAACCAAATTAAAGCTGTTGATCAAATTCAAAAGTTGAATACTATAACCAATTAAATTATTATTATTATTATTATTATTATTTTTATTATTATTATTGTTTTAACAAAACAAATTATAATACATGGGAAACTTTAACAGCTGCATTACACATTCGTGGTTTTTATGCTTTTCTTTCTTTCTTTCTTTCTTTCTTTCTTTCTTTCTTTCTTTCTTTCTTTCTTTCTTTCTTTCTTTCTTTCATTTAACTGTTTCTATTTATCTGTGTTTTATTTTAAAAAAAATAACCGGGGGTGCTTTGTAGACTTGTAACCTTTTTTTCTTGAAAATAGCTGAAAAGTATAAATAGTAAATGTAATTCATCTTAACAGAACCCTGGAGAACTCTTATCCAGCCCATCACAAACAGGTCGGGTAATACCTGCTGGAGCAACTGTGTTTGGAGTCGCTGTGCAGTGCCCAGAGATCCGAAGACACCACAGGTAAGAAAACAAATCTGCTTATACATTAATTTATAAATTATAAATATAAATATTATAAATGATGAATGATAATACATTCTAAATGTTATATAACAATTCTTCTAGATGATTTGAATTTAAAAATGAATCACTTAATCAACTGAAAATGTTTTGAGAAATATTAGAGTGAGCATTCAGTGGTTAAATTATTAAAGGCAGCTCTTCACCATACGATCAACCCTGTGCAGGCTGTGTGTGTCTTCGGTGGGAGGCTTGGATCTGTCTGCAGTGGGACAGATCTACAGTCCTGTGAGCTGTTTGGCTGACACGGAGGACAGCACTGAGCCCTACACCACTGAAAGATTGAGCCGTCTGCGAGGAGGATATATTCAGCTCACACAGCCATTCACAGCTTTGGACATAGACTTCAATAATGTGCAGGTATAGAACTCGCATCAGAGGAAAGTCATGTGTTTTCAAATTTTTTTGATACAGGTCTTGAACAAAATAAAATTTGTTTGTTTTTACAGTGTCATGGTCCTTTTTTTACATGTAATATTTATTATTTTATAAAATATTTTTTTTAATTATATATTTGTACTGCACTTTTGCTGTATCTTTAGAGACACATGCTACCTAGGTAAGCATAGGAGACTGTTAAAAGATCTTAACAACTCCAAACATTTGGATTTTATTTTAATATAGACATTAAAGCTACATAATATTGTTAAAAAAGTGACTGACACTGTTATAAAAACAATATAAAAGCAATTTAAAGTAAATAGTATAGGAATAAAAGTAGATTTAAATTTTTTAAAAACCATTTTAGGGACAAAATTATTAGCCCCTTAAAGCATTTTTTTTTTCGATTTTTTTCGATTTATTTATTTATTTATTTTTTTTTTTTTGTCTACAGAACAAACTATCATTATACAATAACTTGCCTAATTACCTTAACCTGCCTAGTTAGCCTAATTATCCCAGTTAAGCCTTTAAATTTCACTTTAAGCTGTATTAAAGTGTCTTGAAAAATATCTAGTCAAATATTATTCAGTGTCATCATGGCAAAGATAAAATAAATCAGTTATTAGAAATGAGTTATTCAAACTATTATGTACAGAAATTTGTTGAAAAAAAATCTTCTCTTCATTAAAAGGAAATTGGGGAAAAAATAAACAGGTGGTCTAATAATTTGTGGGGGGCTTATAATTCTGATTTCAACTGTATATAGATACAGTTAAAGTCAGAATTCTTAGCCCCCCTTTGATTTTAGTTTCTTTTTTTTTTTTAAATATCCAAAATGATGTTTAACAGAGCAAGAAAGATTTTACAGTATGTCTGATCATATTTTTTTCTTTTGGAGAAATACATATATATATATATATATATATATATATATATATATATATATATATATATATATATATATATATATATATATATATATATATATAGATAGATAGATAGATAGATAGAGAGAGAGAGAGAGAGAGAGAGAGAGAGAGAGAGAGAGAGAGAGAGAGAGAGAGAAAGAAAGAGAGAGAGAGAGAGAGAGAGAGAGGGGGGGAGGGAGAGAGGGGGAGGGAGAGTGAGAGATGGATGGATGGAAGGAAGAAAGGAAGGAAGGAAGGAAGGAAGGAAGGAAGGAAGGAAGGAAGGAAGGAAGGAAAGAAACAAAGAAACAAAGAAAGAATGAAAAGGCCTTAATGGAATAGTTTTTACAAAAAAAATTTACTAATTTACTAACCCTCAATTGGTCCCAAATCTTTATGATTTTTTTTTTCTCTCTTGAACACAAAAGAAGGTATTTTGAAAGCCTGTGACCATAGACATCAATATTTGTTGCAGGAGCTGGAGGGTCTTTGCTCCAGGGAGGTGGTGCAGCTGTGCTTGTGTGTCACTCAGGATGGCATTCTTGATGCTCTGGCAGTTTGGTTTCAGCTACACCTGGATCAGGACAACCATCTGTCTACTGGCCCACAAGAAGAAACATGCTGGGAGCAGGCCATCTATCCAGTGCAGAGCACTTTCAGTAAGCATATCATTTAGAAAATATCGAGAGCAAAAAGTGTAAAGATGAATCTAGATGTTGGTCAAACCTGCAGAGGCCTAGAGATGGCTAAAAGTTGTCTTGAAACAGAATTGTGGTCCTATTTTCATTCTCACATACTGTATCTCTAAATCATGCTGTGTTTACATTTTGCAGTTTCCGTGCTGTCTTAAAAGGATAGTCATTTAAGATTAGGTCAAAAAACTTCATAAAGTTGAGTTAAACATTTATTGATAGAAGTAACTATCAATATATGCGTAAATAGGAATGAATATGAATAATAAGATACATAAATGTTAATTTGAATAGTTCATTAACCATTTACTTGCACATTAAGAAAGTTCTTAAAAAAACAACTATTTTTAAATAAGAAAAGGTTTGTAAATAGTTTAAAATTTAATTTTGTAATGAAAATAAATTATTAACAAAGTGTGAAAACAATCATGAAGCACATTTTAACGTGCTTATAAGTCAAGAATAAATCATTTGTAGCTCTATTTATAAACTGCTTACTAACATCTAATAATGTAGAGTCAATGCTTAACTATTACTTATATGAATTAACTATTTGCTAATGCTTAATAAATGATTCATAATGTGTAGTTATTATAAAGTGTTACCAAATTTCCTCACAATTTCCTTATCCTTCACTTGTTTCAAACCTGTTTGAGTTTCTATCTTCTGTTAAACATGAAGGAATATATATTGAGGAATGTTTGCCTTTGACATCCATAGTAGGAACAAAAAATATGTAAGTCAATTATGGGATCAAATTCCCACCTACAGTTTCGCGGTCACAGATAGAAAAATAATGCACGTAAATCAAAATATTGACATTGTGTATGAAATTATAACACGCAAATCGAAAACTAAATGCAGAATAAGAAACGAGGTCACGTATTGAAATTTAACGAGGGTGAATCAAATATGAATACAGATTTAGACAACATTAGTTTTTCCACTCAATTTTGAATTTCCTTTCCAAAAGATGCAATTCGAGTTGTATTTAAATCACAGGCGGGCTTCAGCGTCATCATTGGTCCACTTGGCGAGACTGACAGTTGCTCCTCCAGCCAATCAGACGAAGGGGGAGTTGACGTCACACCAATGCAACTCCTGGATGCTCAAAAGCATTTGTTTAAAGGATAATACAGACACCTATTCCTGATTATGTCTAAACGCCTTATCATTTCTGATTCACGCTCATTAAATTTCGATACGCAACATGTTGTTTCTGAATCTACATATGGGCTTTGCTTTTGGGTGTTATATTTTAAGCGCAATGTCATGTTATGCACGTGCTTTATTTTTCTAGCCATGACTGCGATTGTTTTTATTTGGGAATTTGATCCCATAGTCAATAGCCCCTTTCACACATACAGACCTTTCCGGAAAATTACCGGCAATTTTCCGGAAAGGTTGTATGTGTGAACAGGTCCTTTTAGAAAATACCGGTAAATTCGTTCTGGCTATTTTCCGGAAAGAGAAGTTGTAGCATTACCGGCAATTTACCGTAATGCTGCGCTGTGTAAACGCAGAAGGAAGATTGATGGAATAAGCGCGTGCACGTCTAGAACGTGCTGACGTGAGACGTCTGCTTTAGCCAATCACAACTGTCAGATGCATTTACGTCCGCGCGGTTCATGAGAATAACGTTTATGAGAATAAAAGCCTTTGAATATTTTTCCAGACACATTTAGCTGCTAGAAGTTAGTCAGATCACGTTTATATGTTCTTCTTAATGCCAACTGTATAAATAATCATCGATGAGATGCTTATGACAAGCCGTTGTTTGTTTACCTTCAAGTTTTGCGTGTGCCTGCGAAACAGCCTGTGAGCGCCTGCACACGCACATATTATGAACATCTCGACATGCGAAAGTGATCCTGCGAAAGTTGTTCACAATACTGATTATCCACAGAGTTTGTAATTTAGTCAAATGTTTACAAATACAAGCGCAGCCGTTTAAAGCTCATTTCTGGTTAATGATGTCAGAATTTACCGGTATTTTGGAATGGATGTGTGAATGCTCTTTTCCGGAAAATTTCCGTATCGTCCTCGCCTGTGTGAACAGCACTTTTTTGAATATACCGGTAAAGTCGTTCCGGAAATTTTCCGGATATTTACCGTTATCACTGTGTGAAAGGGGCTAATGTCTGTTTTTTTTTTCCCCAAAATTCTTAAGTATATCTTTCCTTTTGTTTTTCTATCTGCGACCGTGATTCTTTAGGTGGGAATTTTATCCCATAGTCAATGTCTGTTTTTTTTGTTTTGTTTTTTTTGGAACAGAAGAAAAGAGAATGAGTGAAGAATGAGTTGATAACTACATTTCCATCCACCTATTTTTATACGCATTTTGGATATGCATTTAATATAAACATACATATAAATACATTTTTGATGGAAACACCAAGATAAGCATACAATTTGAAAATGCGCATAAAAATGTATGTGCATAACGGAGTAGGTAAAACTTTTTATTCTATAAGAAAAGATGCACATAAACTGCATTGGAAACACTATTACCGAACAAATTCCAGTATGCGCATTAAAAGTTATGTGATTTTGTTATAAGAGATCATATGATAAAAATGTGCTTGAATGGACAAACCAGCGGGGTGAGCGCACTGTAAAACATTTGAAATGTTGTTTTGGCCTTTCTAAAATGCCTTAACCATTTCAGAATTAGTGTTATTATATTATTATTGACCTACAGAATCAAGAGAGTCTGTGCTCCGCATCTCATGCCTTCAAACACCACCGCGTGTTCACTACGTGTCAGGATTGCCTTCTGAGGTGCAAGTCATTTATTAAATGAAGAAAAGATTCATATAGCTTCTCCTGCCACTGCAAGTTCCATTTTTACTGTTGATACTTGACGTATGTTAGTCAGGAAGTGACTGTTTGTGATTTTGTTCGCTTTGACTCGTTGAATGGAAACGCTGCTTTATCTGCACAACATTTATGCGATTTTTCTTTTGCGCATGGATTTAATTCGCATTTTTGGATTGAAACATGGCAAATGATGACTTTTCATTTCTAGGTGAACAATCCCTTTAAGTCCATACTTAAAGATAGTTACTAAACATCAAAAACATTGCTTTGTTCTGGGCTGAACACACATGAGAACAAACTCAGAATAAAAAAAACTGCTAATTATATAATGAGTTAAAGTAGGACCAGACATTTGTCAATCACACACACACACAAATATCAACAAAAATACTTCTGTAAAGAGACATATTTCCAGCATCTGTATTTGAACACACCCCTAAAGATTTGAATGAAAAAATATTAATATTATTTCCTTGATCCATATACCTAAACAATATCCAGTAAACCAAACATGAACCTTTAGCTTTTAAGTCTGGAGTCCTAAAATGTAATTAGTACTATATTTGAATTCGTGAACACTTCCTGGGCTTCGAATATATTTGTTGTGGACAATAAGGAGCCGTGAATTCTCCAGCGAGTTTCTTGATGCATTATTGACAGAAGCTCTTCAAGAACAAAACTACACATTAACAGCAATATGCTCAGACATATGGAGCCAACATAAACTTTTGATTTGATAAATTAATTGTGGTGATCCTTGCAGCTTATCAAAGAATTGCCTATTTAAACACTGAAAGATCATCTTACCGACTATCCACTTGTATGTTGTGCAGTTTATAGATGGGTTATTGGAAATTGATGATACCACAAAAACAGCTAGGAGGGAGGAAATAATTTGTTTATAAGTGTTCCCTTATTTCAGGAAACCAGATAATTAAATTTGAACTGACCAGCACTGTGTTTTGCTTAATATGCATTATTTGGTGTAGACTTGTACATATTTATTTAATTTAATTTGCGTGGAATGTTTTCCTAAATCCCTAATTATATGACAATTGTTAGTGCACTAGAAAGACTTTATTCTTGTCCAGTGTTTTTTTTTTTTTTTTGTCTCTATAAGTTATAAGCATGTAAAATCTCTGTTTATTTGGTTAAAATAAGAGTTGAGGATACATTTTAATCCCCTTTCATGAGTGCTTATCAACATGGGCATCTGTAGTTTTTGTCATCTTCAGTAGTTATTGTTTTCTGCCCCCACCATTTCCTTTCCGACTGTAATGCAAAAACCAAACAATATGTATGAGATGTGTGTATGTGGTATGTGTGGTCAAAAAGAAAGTGGTTGGTTTTCATAATGTACGAAATTTAACACAGGCCGGTTAGGGTATTTAGGCTTCTCATTGTATAACAATGCTTTGTTCTGTAGACAATCAGAAAAAAATAGCTTGAAGGGGCTAATAATTTTGACCTTAAAATGTTTTTTTTTTTTTTTTTAAACTGATTTATTCTAGCCGAAATAAAACAAATAAAACTTTCTCCAGAAGAAACAATATTATCAGACATACTGTGAAAATTTCCTTGCTTTGTTAAACATCATTTGGGAAATAGTTAGTTAGAAAAATAAAAATTATAAAAATAAAAGGGGCTAATAATTCTGACTTTAACTGTACATACATAAAAGCAAAACTATACAAAACAATTTTGTTACATAGATATTTTAATCTATATATATTTATCATATTATATTATCTTATATCTAAAATCTATAAAATTCTAAAATCTATACCTAAAAATAAATAAACATTCCCTTAAATATACGCATGCCAAATATATGCATGCCTGTGTGTGTGCGCGTGTGTGTGTGTGCGTGTGTGTGCGTGCGTGCGTGCGTGTGTGTGCGTGTGTGTGCGTGTGTGTGCGTGCCTGTGTGCGTGTGTGTGCGTACGTGTGTGCGTGTGTGTGTGTGTGTGTGTGTGTGTGTAGTATACACAAACACACTTAAATAATGTTAAAACAAACGTTTATTTTGGTTCCGATTAATTATTTCCCAGCACTAATTTTATTAAATGTGCTTAAAAAGTTTGTTTTAAAGGGCACCTATAATGAAAATCTACTTTTGTAAGCTGTTTGGACAAAACTGTGTGTTTGTACAGTATGTCTACATTAATATTGGAGTGATATAAACCCAACAAGTCTCTGTTTTTTTTTTTTTTTTTTTAAGTTTACTGACGTTAAAAGAGGATCCAAATCCCAGTGATTTTGAGGCCCACCACATTGTGACATAGGAGTACAGTTTCCCCACCTTCCAAATTCATTGATAAACTACAGGTTTCTATATATACATGTCCACAGAACATTTTTTTTACAAATAAACTGGGATTAAAATATTTATTACAACTTTCTGTGATTTTATAAGTTTTAAATGTTTTTTTTAAAACAGAGCATGTTTGTAATAAAGACAGTAAAATCGATATTCTTAACAGCTATAATCACAACAGCCACATGGTGTCAGTAAACACAGTGTGTACTGCAAACGGCATTTGTGTGTGACTCATCGTTTCAGAAAGACTTGAATAAACTCCACCACAAAAATATAAAATAAACCTACTTGGTATTTTTGATTTGGTTTTATAAATGAGCTTTATTTCAGCTTCATCTGAGTCTGTTTCTGTCTCTGTGTTGTTTATCTGACATATTGCATGATGAGAAGCAGACATGCACGTGGGAACGGTGAGCAAGGAGAAGCAGCTAATTTGTGTTTAAAGCCACGTTACAAAAACAGCTACAGTATACTCAGACAGCAAAATGGGCAAAATCTGAAGGCTATAATAAATAATCTGATATACATTTTAAGCTGAAATTTTACAGATGCATTCTGGAGACACCAAAGGCTTATTTTAGATCTTGTAAAAGGGTTAAAATAGGTGCCCTTTAAGAGGCAATAAAAATGCTATCAATAATAACCTCTTTAATCCATGTCATTCCTCAGACTCGGTGAAACGTGGTGACGAAATACTGGTGGAAGTATCCTGTAAAGACTCTTACCTGAGGCTATGCTGTGTTGCCATCATAAGAGACGGAAACACAATCCATATGGACAGTGCAACTAAAGGAGCTCCTAAAAGCCTCCCTGCGAACCCTGAGGTGGATCTGTGCAGTGCTCTGGCTGGCCTTCAAACTAACCAAGAGAAAGCATCTCTGGCTTTCATGCTGGAGTCCTCAGAGATTGCCCTCCTCAACAACACAGCCTATCACAGCAGCTTCCAGAAGGCCATGAGCAAACTTCTAGATTCTCTACAGTCAACTAGAAGGCAACAGGAGTCTAACGCACAACCAGATCCAGTTTACGTGCTCGACGTCTCTGAGGGCTTTTCGGTTCTTTCCATGATATCAGCCCAATTAGGTTTCAACAAACAAATCGGCAGTAATTCTGGACTGGTTAAAGCCTACAGCTCGGTTGAAAAGGAGCATCACCAGAATCTGCTGAAACTGCTGGCCAAAGGGAACGGGGTGCTTGAAAGCGCACTGGAGTTTTGGTTGACTCATGTGGAAGACGATTCTGCCGTTCTCCAGCGACCAGCAACAGAGAAGCTCTGGAGCGCCATCATACTCGACTGCATAGAGACCTGCGGCCTTATTAGACAGAAACTGCTGGAGAAAGCATCATTGGCTAGGTAAGAGATTTCTTCGAAAATAAAAATTGTACTAAATTAATCGCGATTAATTGCATGCAAAATAAAAGCTTGTTTTGACACACAATTTAAATGTGATATATATATATATATATATATACATACATCGCCCAAGCTTAGTGCGTTCTAAACACGATACATTGCCCTTTTGAAGGGCACTTCAGAGGAAAAAAACAATCATGGCTGCCATATTCCAAGTCAAAAAAACACTTTGAAATGAAGGATTATGAAGGGTACAACTGATGGACACTTCCGGCCCCTAATCAAAGTTTTTTTTTGTGTCAAACAATGCTTTTCCTTTAAAGTGCTCCTCACTGTAACTTCAGAGGGTAAAACCTATAGGGATTAAGGCAGGAGTCTCCAACATGGTGCCCGTCAGGTTCACATGAGTTGCCCGCGGGCCTGTTTTAAAAATAGCTCACCATAGCACCACATTTGAGTAAGCTGCATCTAATACTTTTATAGGTATTCTTTTTAAATCACACTTGCATTGGTGTAAATTTTAAAATGACTTTAAGTTATATACTAAAAAAAACTTTAAAAACATTTTCAGACAAGTGAAGTGTTACATATTGATATTTATCTAACTTTAAATCATTGTTGACAACTACTGTGAGAAATCATTAACATGATCAATGTCTTCCCATAGATGAATATTATTAATTATTAATTATAACATATAGTTAAAAGTAAATTAAGAAAAATGTGTTATTTAATAACTGGTAGCCCTTCACACTAATCGGTACCCAAGAAGTAGCTCTCAGCTTCCAAAAGGTTGGTGACCCCTGGATTAAGGCATCGGCATGAGGCCTTTCGAATGGAATACTTTGTTAGACTCCATCCACCATTTTGTTAACATAGCATGACTTATGAGTGTCAGATCACTGCCATTCATTAATCCTCTCCTGTGGATTTCTCCAGTACTTTTCGCCAGCTGTTTTTTTTAATGCAATAAATTTAGACATACTACTTGGAAAGCATTTGTATTGGAAAGCATATATATTACAGTGAATTTGTTGCTGGTATCTGGGTTGGTTTAGGCCTGTCAGAGATAAAACAAAAATATGAACTAAAACCACCTTGTCTTAATAAGTCATTTGTGTTGAAGAATCATTCAGATTATTCAGAATGTTTGATTCGTTTTTAAAATAAAGAAAGCAGCTATTTTTATCAATTAATCGTTTAAACGTTCACTAAAATATTCAGTCAAATTGGAATATCGTAACTTGCCATTTTTTGTGAAGACAGCCAAACATACAGTCATATCTTGCTAATGTAATTGTTTAATTCTAACTGCATTCTTGTGGCTTTCATGATACATTAATTTTTAGACATGTTTTTTTTTTTTTTTTTACCCTTTTAGCTAAATTTTGCAGGAAGGTAGATCTCCAGGAACAGGGTTGAGCACTACTGGTGTAACCAAAAGGTTCTAGTATTACTATCTCTACAATGCTGCTTGTGAATTCCTTAGTTTAGGCATTACTAAGGAATTGTGGGTTTTAATATACATTTAGACAAGCTAAAATACTTATTTTTGACAAGGTTTAGATGGTTATTGTTTGACAAGTTGATTTAGAGTGGTAATTTTTGTATATGACTAGGTTGCGCGATAAAATGGGTATCGATATTTATTGACCGAACACCTTTACAACACCTTAGTAATGTTGGTAAGTTAAAATAAAGTGGTTAAATGAAATTTTAATATTCCTAAATGCATTGTTAAAAATATTCAATAACTATCAATATCGAATGATATGAAACATGATATTGTGATAATTTTTTTGCAATATCGCCCAGCTCTAGTAAAAACTACTGTACATAAGGCTATATAAAGAGACTACACAAAAGCCTTAACATTTTGTATGATGCAGTGTGAGTGTGTGTGTGAGAGTGTGTCTCTGTGTGTGTGTGCATTTTAGGCTTACAGAGTGTCACTCCTTCACTCCTGTAGACTTTTTTTCAGCATCATGGTGAATTGTGAATTTGTTGGCCATTCCAATCATTCTCTCATTTTTAAAATGTCAAAAAAGCGAACTTTTTTTCTGTCTAAAATGAACAAAAAAACTACCAGAGAGTTATTTGTGGTTGGTTAATGTAGCAAATTGTCTGTGGTTCTTTTCTTTCAGTTTGTAAACAGTAGTTTGTTTGGTCAACATTTCAGGTGTTTGTTGGAGGACGGTGGACAGATTTTTCCAGAGCGCATTGTGATCCATGGGATGCTGGTAGAGTCAGACACGCTGCTTCTTGAAAACGCTGTTCAGGGAACCGAACCAACACTCGGGTTTAACATCGCTCCATTCATCAATCAATTCACAGTATGTACTGTAGCTGATCTCCATCTTTTGTCTTTGAGAACCTGGGCCCGGTTTTTCAAAAGTAATCCACTAGGATATTGGATAAGGGATTGGATCAAATCTTGAAAATGGGTTTTTCAAAAAAAAAACGGATTACATAATCGGATTAGATCACGTAATCCAATCTTGGTTTTGATCCGGATCAAACCTTTAGTTTGGGTTTTTCAGACCTTTTTTGTAGGATTTGGATCACTTTGATCCAAAAAACCTGGATTAAACTGATACCATCAGAAGGGTGGATTTAGCGTAGATTTCATGCCCAAAATGTAATAAAAACTTAAAAAAATATATTGAATAAAACTATATTTGGATCATGCAGTATCTTACGAGATATACTATTTATTCATAAGGTTTTAATTTTATTTGTTCATCTGTCAGGCTATAGTGATTATTGGCTTTAACGTATTTAGCCTTTCAGTATAGGCCTACAGCAAAATAGAAAGAGTTTGGCCTCATAAAATAATCCCCCAAACAGCTGTTAAAATTTACCAAAAACAATACATTTTATTCTGTTACTAATTGATATATATATATATATATATATATATATATATATATATATATATATATATATATATATATATATATATATATATATATCACAATGGAAAATATTTTTGTGTTCAGAATATTTATTAGTGATAAATGCAATGATTACAGAATAACACAAAAAATGCAAAGAATGGCAATGCCTGATTTTTTAAATCACTTTCAACAATTGCAAAAAAAGACTGGGCAGAAGTTCAGCTTCATCTGGCAAAGGAACAACTGACTCTGACCAAACTGCAGCAAACCAAGACCACACTTGAGATCTGCCTCCTAAAGAATACGCTCAGACAAGCTGCTCCCTCCACATCAGATGAGGAAGTCTGACATTATTGTGGAGGTTTGAACATTGTCTTTTTTTTTATTCAATACATCTATATTTGAAACTTATTATAAATATCCTCAATGTACAGTGTTGTAGATCTCAGATGAGCGGACTGCTGGAAGAGGATGGGGTGGGGTTTTTCTTGCTTTTATTATTTATTATTATAATTATTTTATTATTTATAAAATTTTCTTAGTTTTCATTTCAAATAAAAATAAAGTTATATTTACCCCACACTGGCTATTCTACTTGTTGCTCTTTACATAGGCCTATCTATCCATCTACATTGTGATTGAGCACTGGTAATCCAGCTTTAGTGATCCTGAAAAGTTCTTATCCGGATCAGATTGATCCAATCCAATGTTGCTTTGAAAAACTGGCTCAAAAAGTAAGCTGGATTACGTGATCACAGATTGCAAAAACAGGATTACTGAATTCGGATCAATTTCATCTGGATTAAACCTTTTGAAAAACTGGGCCCAGGTGATGACATAATTGACATTTTGAGTGAACTATCCCTTTAAATGCAATTGAAGACTTTATTTTCTCATTTTTCACAATTTACTACATTTCCAGTGCCCAGGGCCAGATTAACCGATGGGCATTATGGCCACAGGCCCAGGGGCCCGTGCAAACTTGGGGACCCTGCGAGGGGGGGGAATGCTGATTTTGGAGTGTCTATTTAGGCTAAGTGCAAATAGCGCACCTCCTTGGAATAAGCTAGTTGAGTGATTCCCGCCCATCACCGTTTTATTAGACAGGCAACATAACTAAAGAGCGCAACAGACAGCAATATGAGTGGCGTAGCTCGTAAAGCAAATGGCAACATGTTTAGACGCGATCGATCATGTACCCAGTTCGAATCCAGCGTCTGATGAACAGGCTCTTTTTTTTTCATTATAAGTTTGTAAAAGACATTAAAAATACCCTTAAATATAAATTTTAGTACTGCTTCGGTGAACTTAAACAAGTATATTAAAATCCATAAATTTCCAATAGTTGTATTAGTATTTTTGTTTTCAAAGTATGCCTTAAATGCTTTAAAAATAAGTTAAATCTTTGTAGACTAGAAATATGTGTACTGTATATCATTTATTTAAAAAATGTCGCCAATAAATTATATGTTAAATTTATTTCAAAAATAATATATTGATCTTATTTTTTAATTTAACTTTTGGGGTGCAGCCAGGTAGGGGGCTTACAAGACATTGTGCCCAAGGGCCTCTGAATTCTTAATCCGAGCCTGCCAGTGTCACAAAGTTTATCATATTTTGACATAATAAGACAAAATGATTGGATTACTAATGAAGCCACTACGTTGTGTTAAACATTGCACAGATGTATGGTTTCATACACATAATCTACTCAGACTATTTGAACTGCAATTTGTTTTCTAAAATAAAATGTTGCTGAATTTCAAAACACATCTTTTTGTTGTATTTTTAATACAAAACAATCAGCTTCAATCAGAGTCAGAGACTTATATCACTTATTATATAATGTTTGCATTCCATTTCTTTTTACAAGACTGGACTTTGACCTGCAAACTCAAGGGCACATTCTAGAGCAGATGCCAGAACAGGGTGGTTGCTGCAGTTCTCTGAACTGAATCGCAGTGTTTATGTTACATCCTCTCCTTTTTTTAACACCTTAAGTTTTCCGAAAGAATTCTGCATGAGCGCTTTATTTATAAAATTGCTGTATGGAGTATTGTGAAATGCCGTACATCCTTATCAGAAAGAGAAGACAAAACATTATACAGTTGGAAAGATCCCAATTATCAAGATATTTTCCAGGTTGCAGATTATCCTATTTTATTTAAATGCCCTCTTGAACATGTATGTATAACATGTATAAGTGGTGGCCTGATAAGTGGGTGTTGAAAGAAATTTGATTACGTTCAGTGTGTTTTCTGTAAATTAGACTGTGTGTTTAATGTGTCTCTTTTGTTTTTCTTTTCCCAGGTTCCTGTTCATATGTTTTTGGACCTGTCCACCCTTGAATGCAGGCAACTTAGTGAACCAGTTGAACTCTTCACACTGGACCTCATGAACAGCAGTGCCAACTACACTGACAAACAAGTCAAAGTCAGTTTTTGTTCTTTTGTTTTGCTAAATCATATTGTTAACTAATATATATATATATATATATATATATATATATATATATATATATATATATATATATATATATATATATATATATATATATATATATATATATATATTACTAATCACTAATTGAATTGTGATAGTATATTTACAAAATGTCTATGAAACTTGCTGGGTTCCACACAATCAATTTGTGTTGGGAAAACATGAAGAAATTAAGTAAACTTATTTGTTTTTACAAATTCATGTGGATTGAACATAAAACAATTAAGTTGTTCCCCAAAAAAACTCAGGAATTGTGTTGGTTTAGATCATTTTAAATAAGTAGTTTAAACTAACAGCGAACATCATTTATTGAGTGGAACATGATCTTTACTTAAAGGGATAGAGCACTGTCAACATTCACTCATTCACTTGTCACAAACCTGTTTTTTTCTTCTGTTGAACACAAAGCAAGTTATTTTGAAAAATGTTGTTAACCTGTATCCATTGACTTCCATAGTATTTGTTTTTCCTACTATGGAAGTCAATGGTTTTAGGTTTCTAACATTTTTCAAAATAACTTGTTTTATGTTCAACAGAAAATGGAAACACTTTGGACCAACTTCACAGTGCGTAAATATTCAGTCCATTTAAACATTTTGAATAAACTGTCACTTTAATATTGAAAATGTTTTGGGCATTAAAAAAACTAGAATTTTGACCCATACAGTATATTTTTGGTTTTTGCCAGTGTAAAAAAATACCCATGCAATGTAAGACTGGTTTGAGTCACATATATTACAAAATATTTAAATGACACCGATGTGTCATTCATTTATTCATTCATTCATTCATTTTCTTGTCGGCTTAGTCTCTTTATTAATCCGGGGTCGCCACAGTGGAATGAATCGCCAACTTATACAGCAACCCAATTCACCTGTACCGCATGTCTTTGGACTGTGGGGGAAACCGGAGCACTCGGAGGAAACCCACGCGAAGGCAGGGAGAACATGCAAACTCCACACAGAAACGCCAACTAAGCCGAGGTTCGAACCCGTGACCTAGCGACCTTCTTGCTGTGAGGCGACAGCAATACCTACTGCGCCACTGCCTCGCCACAACGATGTTTAAAACCTAAAATAAAAGATATGTAAGAAATGAAGAGCAAACTAAAATTAAATTGAATGATTCCAACATGTTTAAGTAATGATTTTTGTTTTTGTACAGTGCTCAGCATAATTGAGTACACCCCATTTTGAAAATGAATATTTATATCCATTTCTCAGTGAATATAGGCAATATATTTTGGTTCATTTAAACAAAACAGATTTATTAAACAGATATATTTATTAAAGTAATATTTTAATCACCAAACATATTTAGATATTGAAAGATAATACAATTGAATTGAAGCAAAAAAAAAAAAATACAACCTACAAAATTTCAAATAAATACTTTAATTTTAGTTTAATTAATATTAATTTTAATTAATTTTGCTTCTCTTGATTCTTCCTCTTTTTTTAAGTTTGTATTTAAAATTTTACTATAACATAAATTTAGGAGCACTTGTTTTTGGACCGTTATCGTAAGTTATTTTGTTAGATAAGCTCCAGATTTTGCTTCATTACTGACTAATCTAATGTATATGCACAAATATAATATTGTATAGCTTCCTATTAAAATTGTAATGAATAAGTAAGAGAGATTTGTGAGGAAGGGGTGTACTTATATATGCTGAGCACTGTATCTTGTTGTTTTTTTATTTTACTGGGTAAGGACTGAGAATAAGGATTTAGAATAGGTCTGCACGATATTTAAAAATCTGATATTGCAATATTTTATATTGAATATGAACATTGAATACAGTTTGACTATATGGTTTGAATAGTTCTACAAGAGCTATTTAATAGTTATGGTTTTCTGGGGAGTCTAAGAGCATTTAGGTACAGAAATTGAATAATCACAGTGCAAATATCTAAAATTTCTTGGATCAAGTAAAATATTGTTTTGTTTTTAACTTCAGAAGTCAAATTTAGGAGTTTTTGCTTCAAACTAGTAAAATAATCGTGTTTTCACTTTGAAATGTACATATTTGTACTAGAAATAAGACAAAAACTCTTTTTTTGTATAAATTGTATAAATTCTGCCTGCCTGCTCTACCAAATGGTTAAGCGTATTTTGACTGTTAAAGTCATTTAAAGAATGGTTTACACTACACAGCATTATTGGTTTACAAGATAATCAAACAAACTTAATCCTGTTGCAATAGGCGACGCAGTGGGTAGCACGTTCGCCTCACAGCAAGAAGGTCGCTGGGTCGATCCTCGGCGCAGTTGGCATTTCTGTGTGGAGTTTGCATGTTCTCCCTGGGTTCGCGTGGGTTTCCTCCGGGTACTCCGGTTTCCCCCACAGTCCACAGACATGCGGCACAGGTGATTTGGGTAGGCTAAATTGTCCGTAGTGTATGAGTGTGTGTATGTGTGGATGTTTCCCAGAGATGGGTTGCGGCATCCGCTGCGTGTAAACATGCTGGATAAGTTGGCGTTACATTCCACTGTGGCAACCCCAGATTAAAAAAGGGACTAAGCCGACAAGAAAATGAATGAATGAATGAATTCTGTTGCAGTACTACACTTGATTAAGGTTTTATTGTAGAAAACAACAGCAAGAAAGCATGTTAAATGAAAATCTGAAATATTTTATGTTATTCTTCAAAATATAAAGATGATTTAGTATTCAAATTTTTATTTATTTATTTTTTAAATCTGAATATTTAAAAAAATAAATTGGTCTTAAACTTCATATATTTCAGATTTTTCATAAAATATGTATTAAATCTGGTACTTTTACCATAAACCCACATATCAACCATTTGGTAGAGGTTGATATTTTAGAAATTGTGTTAAAAAATGTCTTGAGTGTGTTAACTAGTGACTTTAGGAGTTAAAAATGCTATCCAAATGTCTTTTTCTTGGTGGGGCAGTTAAATGTCTTTAAATACATTTCTGTAGCTCCTGGTCAACTATAATTCAGACTCTAAATTGCATATCTTGCGTTGTGACTATTGTGCATGTGCACATTGCATTATTGGTGCTGAAATGATATATTGTGCAGCCCTAATCTCGAATGAAAAGGTAGTCTCAGATAAAGCATTAGCGTAAATAGTAGATCAGCGTGTCATCTATTAACTCAGTGATAATAAAAGCACAGTACCGAACTCTCGAGTTTTATTTCAAACAATCTTTGACCTTTTTTTTGGATTTGGCAGGTGCAGGTCAGCACCTCAGGCAAGGTGAGTGCCATTCCCTTCTGGTACCAGATCCATCTGGACTGTTGGCAGAGCGTCAGCACCTACAGCAAGGATTCTCACTGGAAGCAGGCGGCAGTGGTCCTCCAGCAGCCTCTAACCGTCAGCAGAGGAGACTGGCTTCAACTCAGCGTCCGCCTGCATAAAAGCAGCATCTCCATTACAGCCGTTAAAGAGGAGGAGCCAGGCGCTAATGATGTCAACACTGAGGTGGAGTCTGCGACCAATGACACATGATGAGAGGGACTTTAACATCATGTATTTTAAAACACTCTATGATCAATGAATTTGGCAGTTGTTTAATTGCTATACAGTAAACAAAGTTATTTACAAAACGAAACACTTATCACAAAATATTTCAACAGACTTTTGTCAGAACATTAAAAAAATTTCACTAGGATTTTGTGGCTTGATTTTTGCAAATATGGAATGGACGGTTTGCTCAACGGATATTTTGAGATCATTTACACACTTGTTTCATTACAAAATGTGTGGCTTTCTTGTGTGGAACATAAGATTATATAATATAATGGTTCCTGGAGACCCCTATTTTAACTATTAAAATCCTTAACGACGATTTAAAAATTGTAAAAAGTAATTGTTAGGTTTCTAATAATTGCTACAATTGTGTAAATATTAAAATAATAATATTAACAATGATGGGCAGACTTTAAAGTTGGTTTGTTGACTTAAAAATATCATCTATTATTTACTTGCCAAACAAAACACTTTTTTTTAGAATGCAAAATATGTTTTTGTAGCATTTGCAACAGTGTTTAAGTATTTGTATAAAACAGTGTATAAGTAAGTTAAAATGTAAATGAGAACACAAGTCTGTTCTCTGCGTTCTTGGTTTTGAGAACGGATTGGTTTATTTGCATGTTACACACTAAGTGAAGTTTATATACCAATTTCGAAAGGAGCATGTGATATGATTGATCGCAGCTGGTCTCATCTGTAGTCAGTAATAATCCAATCAGATTGATCCAAGCCTACGCTGTAAAAAAAAAAAAATTATTTTACTTTAAAAAAAAAACGTAAAAAAACGTAAAAAAACCTACTGTTTGTTATTTTACAGTAAATTTCTAATTTAATGGCCGTTATTTCACCCCAGCTGCTGAAAAAAAAAGTTAATTAACCAGGGCTTTACATTAACACCTGCCAAATGCGGGTAGATTTCAGCTCTGGCGGGTTAGATAGACACCTCCACTAGCCACTTTGGCCGGTTGAAAATAATTTTTAAATTGTAGTTTTCTTAAAAGCAGGGTTTGACAATAAGCATGGACAATATTCGTGCAAATGTGATCTAATTGAGAAGCAGCACGAATGACAAAAATAACTTTGTTCGCGCGAGCAAAACAGCAAAAAAGAAGGTAAATACAGAACAAGAGGATGATCACTCGCGTGCACAGGTCATTTGATGCGCATGACTGTTAAAAACCGCACGCGCTCCCGCTTACTTGCGCAAAGCAACCGTGACTAGAGGAAGCGCAACTGCTGCGATTGGTTCTCTTTGAAATAGACTGGACAAAGAGCTATGATCCTTTACCCACAGTCATGCTGCTCTCAAGAGCTCAAGATTAAAAAAAAATACACATAATCTTTTGTAAGCAGCAGCCGTCACTGCTTTCATTTTTTTATTTTTCTTTGAACAGATTATTAACAAACCTATATTAATTAACCGTGTATTAACGGTGATCATCCTTTCATTATCAAACACGGTGTGTTTCACCTGCTTTCTTTTGCTTAGTTATTTTTGTTAATATGGTTTAATTATATATTTTACAATAACATTGCTTTAATGGGAGATTACTTCCTGTTTATGTGTAGTTAACTGGTGATCTGGGACTTTTAGCCCGGACAGATTACTAAGCATATTTTACACACAACAAAAATTATTTATTAAATGTAATGTTTTCTTAAAGAAAAGTTTTGTTGAACTAAAAAGTGCACCTATAAAGCTATATTTTCCTTGTTTTGGTTGTTTACTTATTTAGTGTGGTCGGAGATAAATTTGGTCAATCCTTAATTTTGAAAGTCCTGAAATAAAAACTGATTGCAGTGCGACAACCCATTTGCTCATGCACACTGAGCAAGCTAATACACAATTCACACAATAATTTAAATAAATGAGAAGGCATATGGACATTACACAACATCTAAATCAAATCATTTTAGCATGTCAAAGTCAAATTTATGCATATAAAACATATTTTCCCAACAAGAAAAGTGTGGCTAGTGAAAATGGCGAGTGGCTAGTAATGTTGGAAATCTACTAGCCACAAAGGCTGGTGATCAAAAAAAGTTAATGTCAAGCCCTAAAAATAAAAGACTTTTTTTTTTTTATAGTGTACAATAAATAGATTGCTTTCACCCTACTGCCTTATCCTGGTTTGGGAAGAATCCCCCCCTTCCACCTCATCCCCTCCTTTTTTTTCTTTACCAGGGGGAGCTTTCAAGACTTCCCTTATCTCAGACTTCCTTACATGCTAAAAGACCTGACGGGAGCCCTGGGCTCAATTATTCCCGAGCTCAGGGTTCTCTCCCTGGACAGCATGCCAAACCTGCTAATAGCATCAAGCAATATCTAAATGTGAACTCTTGAAACTCATTAAAAGAATATTAGAGCATTTGCATTGTTTTCAAACTGTTTTCCTTTGAATTTCAAAAGTGAATTTGGACAGGCCTCAAGTCTATCTGTACTGTGTGCTTTAGACCATGCACTTAACTCATTGAAACAGATCCTTTAATGTCTATTAAAATTGTAGAATTCACTCCTTGCTTATTTCAGGTTATCCTAATAGGAGTTAAAGCATGTGTGTGTGTATTTTTATGAGTTCCATACTGTATATTCTAAAGCATAGTATTAAAAACGCTGAGCAAAATTAGAGAACACGTTTAGATACATCATGCCTCTTTCACACAGGGCGTCAGTGTCAACGCTTCCCATTCAAATAGAATGGATGACGTCAGGTTTGCCGAACTGCATTGTGGATTCTTCTGCGCCATATCAGTGGCGCTGTTATGATGATCAGGTCAGCCTCAACTTCAGACACACCCTCGGTCAAGCATTAAGGCTGAAGCCCCTGTATGGCTACAAATTTTTGGAAAGAAAACCTTATTTATCCGACTATATTAAACTGGCAGCCAAACTGTTTTTTTTTTTTGTTTGTTTGTTTGTTTTTGGATAATTGTCGGCATAATTGGATAATTGTCGAATGATGATCTCTTTTAAAGTGACTAAAACCCTGACAGCAGGTTGTCCAGGTGAAAGTCAAAGGTTAATTTACATGCAGGACAATGAGCCGTCATAAATCAAGTTACTTAAAGCTTGATAAGCTTGACTGAAATAATGAAATGGCAGCCAAAAGTCCTGACCTAAACCTGATTGATAATCCGTAGCAACACAGTTCATTTATTAATTTCTTTTCTTTTCGGCTTAGTCCCTTTATTAATTAGGGGTCGCCACAGCAGAATGAACTGCCAACTGATCCAGCATATGTTTTATGCAGCAGATGCCCTTCCAGCCACAACCCAGCACTGGGAAACACCCATACACTCTTGCATTCACACCCGCACATACACTACGGACAATTTACCTTATTCAACTTATTTAGCATGTGTTTTACGCAGTGGAAGCCCTTTCGGCCACAACCCAGCACTGGGAAACACCCATAACACTCTTGCATTTACACATACACTACAGCCAATTTAGCTTATTCAATTCACCTATAGCGCATGTCTTTGGTTGTGGGGAAAACCGGAGCACCCGGAGGAAACCGACGCCAACACAGGGAGAACATGCAAACACAGAAATGCCAACTGACACAGGCGGGGCTCAAACTAGCAACCTTCTTGCTGTTGGGCAACAGCGCACTGTGCCACCAGCAACACAGTTATAGCTACTAATATAACAGTCAAACTAAAATTTTGAATAATAAAAATTCCTAAAAATATATGTGTTTGTTTAATGAAAATCAATAGTAACCAAAACTGTTTGCGGAAGAAAGGAAGTTCTGGAACTGTTAGGGCGAGTTCATATTTTCTTGGTGAACTGACAGTTTGAACTGAGATTTGTGAGCAATCAAGCGGACACACTAAAGATGTATTTTCATGTGAAGTTTAATATCTGTGATAACCACTGTTAGATAAGGCAATGCAACGGCCGTACTAACCATCGCAAAAGGTGCATCTCTCTCAATGGAAAAGAGAGACTTATGACAGTTCATCAAAACTAATAAATGGGACTATTTCCCACAGGTCCACATCTGTATTGACAGAACAAACTGATCTTGCAGTAATTCTATATATCATTTATAGCTCATGTGCAGCTGAATTTGGAGGACAGATAGCGAAAACAGAAGTAAAAAAAAAAAAAGACTTTTTTAAAGAGAAAGTTCCCCCCAAAAATACTAATTGCCATCAATTATTCAACCTCAAGTCTTTCAAAGCCTATAAAATCATGAAAATACTTGTAATGAAACTTGAATTTTAGTTCTCGTAAGCAAAACGTTCCAACCCAATCTCAAAGAGGAAACTTAACTGTTACCTATTGTCAAAATATTGGCTAATTTGTCCAAATTCAGGCGATTTTATTTGTACAAAAACATGTGATTTTTATAAGGTGTGGCCCCAAACCGCACCCCTAAACCCAACCATCACTGCTGGAGGAGATAATAAAACTAAAACAAACAAATGTGAGTGCAACTAAATTAAAAAACGATATGAATATTGCCATGATATTGCACTGAAATTTTCACACTTCAGAAAGCTCATGAAGATGCAGTCAAAATGAATCAAGCGGGATAATCCAAGTCTTCGGAAGAGACATTATAACTATGGTATCAATTTAATTTAATTTTAGACCACAGGTGTCAAACTCTGTTCCTGGAGGGCTGCAGCTCTGCACTGTTTAGTTCCAACCCTTATTGAACACATCTAAGTGAGTCCTTCAGGCTTGAGTCCTTCACACTAAATGAGTTCTTCAGGCTTGTTTGAAACCTACAGGTTAGTGCAGGGGTCACCAAACTTGTTCCTGGAGGGCCGGTGTCCTGCAGATTTTAGCTCCAACCCTAATCAAGCACACCTGAACAAGCTAAGGTCTTACTAGGTATACTTGAAACACCCAGGCAGGTGTGTTGAGGCAAGTTGGAGCTAAACCCTGCTGGGACATCTAAATTGGTGACCCCTGGGTAAAGCTGCGGTCACACTAGAGTTTGATAATGCGAAATTCTGTTGTCGGCACTGTGAAAAGGGGCGGGATTAAACAAGATAATTAGACATAAAAAAAGCGGGCGATTGGTCCATGTTTTAAATTTCTGTCCATAGAGGTCATGTTTTGATCCTCGATTCGTCTCACCCAGTCAAGTGATGCGATTTTGCAGGTCAGAGTTCACCA